GGGGAATTTTACCGATTACTTTTGTCTGTAATTTTTCGAATGACTTAAATCGAACCTAAATTATATAAAAAAAAAAACAAACAATAAACTTGAAGTATATAATATTATAACGACGAAAACCCCCGGCCGGTGCTAAACATTATTCAAAATGATGTACCTAGTCCATAGTATATTATAAACTGTGACTATTTCGTGGGGCTGTACTACAGTCCGTGTTGGATTGTAATACTAACTGTCGGAGACAGACAAACGGTTTTTATCGTATTTTTTTTTACCGTCTAAGTTTTATCTGACACGTAAATCGACCGTCCAACAGATTTTTGGTTCACTCAGACGTGCAGGATACGCGTATTGCAAAGCTCCGTTTGACATTAACCATGTATGGACTTTTCGTAAACGCACTACTATTATTGCGGATGAGGTGCTTCTGTGTTTTTTTCCGGCAATCATAGCTCCTTGAAACACTATTATTTTTATTTTTGAACAAAGGAAACTGCTTCACAGGAAAGACAATACAAAAATTCTTACCTATACGGAAATGTGCGCACTGAAGCGCGTTTAAATTTTTATGTCCCAACTTTGACGATATATGTGTAAAATTTTTATGTACAATGTACCAACAACGTCAAGTTATGAAGAAAAAAATCTTGAAATTCTGATGAAAATCACTAAAAAAAATTCCTTTGGATCTTCGTTAAATTCATTTTTTTTAACTCCAAAGCATTATATCAGTATATTGTTGTCAAAACGTTTATATGAGAATAGTTTGTAATTATAAATTCGAAACACGTTTGAGCTGGAACTGAACTTCATACGTCAAACAGAGGTTACAACTTAAGTAAAAGGCCAAAGCAATAAAGTGTATAAGCTATGCATCTATACCGTATGGAATAAACAACATTCATAAAATAAACAATACAATGGACAGAACTCGTAAAAACAAATTGAAAATCGAATTTCCTAGTCGAAAAGTCATCATCATCGTCATCACTGATAGCAATGAATGAAAGAGAAAAATACTATTTTTTTTAGTCATATACGACTCACCGGAAATGTCATCAATAGGAACAATAATATTTATTAAAAATGAAATACAATTTTTTTTTAGTTTTATATAAATATAATAAATTATAAACTAATATATTAATGCATTAATGTAAAAATTACGAACTCTCTGTGTGTTTTGTGTAATTTTTTTTGGCTCTCTGCCTGTGTTTTAAATACAGCTATCCTCTGTATTGACATTAAAAAAAATTAAATTAAATTCCAATCAGCGTACGGGGTGCGTTTTCGTCGGCGCGTCGTTTATTCGGTCGTTATCCGGACTAATCCGGCCGGCAGACAATGCCATCAAACGACATTCGTTTTTGCGTTAAAACCAAACTAGAACGAATTATAGTCGTAATGGTATTATTGCGGAATATAATATACACACACGGCCGTGGACTTGCGTAGTCCGATACGAGCGAGGTGTAGGTTGAACACACCCGGTCGACGAGGGCAGTCGACGGTCGGCGAGGGGTGAAAACCAAACGAGGGCGTCCGGAACCAGCGTGCTTTTCAATTAATCCGCCGGCGATCGTCTCAGATACGGCACCGGAGAGCAGGATTAAAGGAAACACCCCAGACAGATTTACGTGCACACACACACACACACACACACACATCTAAGAGTAATTGCAATGGCATTTGACTTTCTGCAGTGTATGTTATTGGAGCGGCAATCTGCAATCAGTGTGATCACTGGTGGTTAGGTGTGTGTGTGTGTGTGTGTGTGGGTGGGTGGGTGGGTAGGTGGAATTTTGAAGGAGGTAATTTAGTTTTTTTCCCCGTCTCGATCGTTACTCCGAAAAAATGTCTGTCTTATTCGTTCTATCCAGAACGGGATGACTTTTCGTCGATAAAATAATAATATACGTGATTTGCAACGAGTCAGTTAGTAGTAGACTATTATAGTCTATACATTTGACGATTCATAACTGAGTGATTCGAAATATTTTTTTAAATTATACATGGGTTCAGTTTAACATCGATGTAATCTACTCGGAATGAATTCGTTGCACGGTCATTAATCCGTGGGCGGCAAACCAAAATTAATCATTTAATCAAGAGTGTCCACTGTGTGGCTTTTTCTTGTACCTATCACCTACGTCTATCGCCGAACGCTTCGTCGTTACTTGTACACACACACACACACACACACACACACACACACACACACACACACACACACACACACACACACACACACACACACACACACACACACACACACGATCCACTAATCCCCGAAAAAGCTTCCTTGCGGTGTGTAGGTTTAGTGCAACAACGTGAACCGTCCCTGAAACCCGAGTGGATTTGTAATAAATCCCACCAAAGTCGGTTCTTTAAAACTTGGACGAAGAAACTGTGTTTATTTTTTTGCGACTCCTGGCTTCTGTAATCCTTGGAGGACGATAAAGGCAGCGAATACGGTGCGGAATATGAAAAAAAATAACCACCACTGGACCTATCAATTATAATATAATAATATTATTATGAATAGACCCGCATACTTTGTAGACGTAGTTTTTTTGCTGATCATAATATTATTAATATAATATAGTACAACAAAATTAACATCGGAGAGGTTGAAAATGTTTGTACAGTTCATTACAACGATTGCAAAACTTTTTTTCCTCCATATATGTATAGTTACAATACATCCATCAAAGAACCGGGTCGGCGGGGAATTATCGCAAAGGGAAAAGAAATTCGAGTTCTGGTGAAGGTAAGGAAACATTATTATTATTATTATGTTTTTACAAAACACCCTATTTATTTTGAAGTTTTGAGAGGTATTTTACTAATGTGCTCACCAATTTCAATAGAAGCGGCACGTCAAGAAATATTTTAAAAACATGGTTTCATACGCCAATACGCCATCGTGGTCTTATATTATTATATTATACCTGAGTTTAACTTTGACGTAGAACCGAGGCAGAAAATAGTTACTATCCGCTATACTTTCATATCAAAAAAAAAATGTTTTTCTTTAGGAAGCTATTAAACGACCTTTCCGTTGTATATTAATACTCAAAACTAAATCATAATGATAAAGGTAGATGGTAGGTATTATCCACGCGTAAATAAATTTATGATTTTACGGGACTCATTCATTACACTTTAGGAAATGCCAACACAATATGCGTCCCATTAGTTCTAAAAATATGTCGTTATTGATATTATACTCATAAAGTAGTAATAATATAACAATAATAATGATAATAATAATAATAGTAATAATAATAACAATATGATACTTAATTTTCATATTTTTAATATTATTATCATGATAAAATGTATGTTTAAACTTATATTTTACTATTAAATATACAGTAATAATATTGTAGAAGTACGTGATATTTTAGTAATAGCCGATAGATAATATCACAAATTGCACTATGAAACCATGGAACCATGAATGTACACACTGTACACTTAACAACTAAAGTTTTAAAGTTTAAAGTTTACACATAATACAGGTATGAGTATTATTAATTGTTGATATTGCACTAGGGAAAAATAAAGATGTAGCAACAGTGGGTAGATTGAGCTGTCAAATTGCGTTTCCGTATTTAATCAGTAGGTGCACGAGTTGCTACAAATATTGAGCGGAACAATAATAGTATTATTATGTTTTGTTAGAAAAGAGATAAATGTTTTCATTGTTACGGAAGACAGTTATTTTGTTTTCAAATTTTGTACATTTTTATACGCAATGAAAATGTGATTGGTTTTTTTTTCATAATTTATGCAAGATATTTATGTATAAAAAAATACAATTCTAAAAAAACACAAATAAAGTTCTTTTTCATCTATAACAAGAAAAAAATTGTCTACGACCATTCAACGTGTCACAGCCAGAAATATACGTTTTTAAAAAAAATCTGAGATTTCATTCTAGGTATAGGTAATCAAAAGTTGTACAGAGATTGCAGAACCACTTGTACATAAATGTCTTGCAACAAAATATTATGGAAAAACTATGATTACATTTGGTCTAAATATAACTCATTATCTAAATATAACCATTTCTATTGAATTATACATTTATAAAATTATTGGATACAAAAACTCGTTTGAAGTAAGAAAGACTTTAATATAATATATTTCATACTTGTAATGTTTTTTTTTCTGAAAGTGCACTAAAAATCAATAGCAAATTTTAATTTATTTTGATACACCAAAGAATATCTGAAGTTGATTTTGAGTAATCGTACACAGTGTTTCAGCGAATTTAAGTTCTGTGAAGTTGGACTCTTACTTACCATCAGTGTTACCACTACACTAAAGTACGTGATCACAACATTGATGAAACGCGTGGTGGTATAAATGGTTTATTCTTGGTTTACCGTATACAAATATCCGCAGATAATTACGTATCATGGATAGAATCACTTCCGTTTTGGTTTGACTACAAATAAGTCATTTTTACAAATTATAATTATAATACCCGAGAGACCGCAGAATCTCTATATATTAGAATATTTTATTGTACCTATAATGAAAAATTAAATAGAATTATGACGCAAAATATTTTCTACGATAAACACAGGATATAAATATTAAAAATTGTTCACAGATTATTATCGGAGTACAACTTTTAAAAGTAAGTATAGGTACTTTGATTCTGCTTTTATTCTGTGATCTATTAAGGCGGGAATTTTCTCGTCTTGCGATATTTTTTCCCATTAGGCTATAGTGACCCCCCATGGTATAAAATATCTCGCCCATAAGCGGGTCCCATTAATCTTACAACGTTTATCAACTATGAATATGACACGCGTTATGCCAATGAAACATCGATTTGTAAGCCAGAACGGTTCCGGAGTTGCTTTATCGGTTAAACAGAAAACGAGCAGTACATAATGTCATCATATCGCCTTCGTACGGCAACGGCAATCTCTGTTTTTATGTCAACGTGCTCAGTCGTTACTGCTGTATGACCTGATGGTGATTTACTTGGTATCTACTAGACCTACTTGAAATTCAAACTGACGTACCTTAAGTCCTGCTGCTGCATTGCCGTTCACGATTGCCGCGGCTGACGGGCTGACCGAGTTCGGGTTGCCACCGTTGGAAAGCGTGGCCACAGCCGCTGCAGCTGCGGCCGCGGCGGCTGCTGCGGCTGCCGATCCGCCACCGGCAGAGGCAGACGGTTGCGCTGGACACGCGATGTGATTGCCGTAGTTGGCGGGCATGGAAAACGGCACGAATAGCATCTGTTGGTGCGACAGCTGGTGCTGGTGTTGATTGGCGGCCAAGGCGGTGGCGACACGACAGTGACAGAGTCCGTCCGCCAGTTGGGGCTGGTGGTGGTGGTTCAGTGCCGCGCTAGTGGCCGGAAATGGAAGCTGTTGTGGCTGTGGGTACGGTAACGTCCTGACTGCCAGTCTGCAGTTACCACGAAATCGGACGGGTCCGATCGACGGACGTATATGCTGGTGCTGATCTGCCGGAAAAGCGTAACAAGAGCACTGCGAAGGCGGCGGCGGAGCGTTGAGTGACTGTGGAGTCAGCTGAACCGTGAAGTTTTCAACGACTGCGGTGGTAGCGGCAACGGATACGCCGGTGTGGTGGAGATGCTGCTGCTGATGATTATGGTGGTGCTGGTGCTGGTGGTGGTCACTGATGTCGCACAAGTCACAACCAGTGGTAGCGGCGGAGGTGGCGATCACGTGTTGCTCCTGTTGCTGTACACCGCGGTCGTGGTAACCGATCACCAAACGCCTCCTGCGATGAGTCTGTGCGGTATCGGTCGGTATGACGGCAGTCGTGATACCTGCACTGGTTGCACCGGCGAACGGATCCGACGACCCTTTCAACGTTGTTATGCCGTCCGTGGCTAGACGACTAAGTCATGTCCCGCGCGTGCGTATGTGTGTGTCGGTCGGTCGGGTTGTTTCGGAGAGGTACAGAGAGTACGCACAGAGAGAGGGAGAGAAGAGAGAGCGAGTTTGTGAGAATTTGATTACGAGAAGGATCGTAAACAGAGACGGAGAATGAGATAAAGAGATAGACGGGTCGTTGAGAGATTATAGACGTAGAGGAGCGTTAGCGAGTGGGAGACGTCAGACGGGCGAACGAACGAAACGAGAACCGGAACGACAAACGATAAATAAACGGAAAATAAAAAAAAATTGTCCGCGGCGACACGCAGACACGTGGGGGCGTCGTATTTCGTTGATAACACACTGTCGGCGGCGGCTTACACTGAGCGCGAACCGACGGCGGCGGCGGCGTCGTATACGGCGGAGATTGCACAGCGTGTTTTCGCTTCGGTATAATGAGCAGGACTACTACCACCGCTCGCCGTTGGAACGGCGCAAAGGGGGTGTCGGTGGCTGCTGCCGATCAGACCCGTCAGAGAGCGCCTACGGACCCTTTTCATTTTTTTATCCCTCGCGCGCGACAACTCAAATGCGTGCGTTGTGTTGGGCCCGCTCTTACGCCCCCCCCCAAAGGCCCCGTTTTAGTACCTGTCCTAACTACCTGTACCTAGGTCGGTTGTATATTACCAGCGAAGTTGGTGTACATCTTCCATACTTACGGATGAAGCTGTACGGATATTATGGATGGATGGAGATCTAGAAGGAACAATATTATTGTCGGGCGGCTATTGAATTTTTTGTAGACTTTTACTGTCGCATCTGCCGCGTGCACAGTTGTTACTTAATATCAGATAATATTAATATGATGTTTTATCTTAATTTTATCGTAATTTCATATGGATACAATCGAACAACGTTGTTATATTTTTATGCCCGACGATCGATTGTGTATGTTGTTGCGCGAGAACGGAATACACTCATTCATAAAAAAAATTGTGTTTTTCAGCACTAATATTATTGTATACTGGTAAAAATGTTCAATCCGATGAAAAAATTTCGCTAACTCATAATTAATATTATGAAAAATTCCTGTGCATATTTTAATAAGTACCTAACAATAATATTGCGTTTAGGTATCACTTAAATACAAAATATATATAAATATTAATTAATTTTTAGCTATATCTACCTACTGAAGTATCTAATTTGTTGTTATAATTATTATTTCAGATTAAAATTTAAAAAACAATCTTAAACAACCATGTCTAAATATTTGTTCTTACCGAGACTATTTCGTTTTTAAATTTCGTTATGATAGTAGCGTCTAATAGTTTGCACAGATACCACAAAACACTCACGATGACTGGACAACCCAAAAATATAACCTATATACACATACAAATATTTGCCATAAGAATTAGAGTGCTATTTCAATTAAAAAACTAATATCGTCGGTGTAATTATTTATAATTATAAAGTACCTATCTAATATATATACCTATTGTTTGGGTTAAGTATAGTATGCAGTGAAACCACTGAAGCAGTGGCCATTCGTAAAAAAAAGTTTTTTAGGTAAATTGTATTTACTAAAATAGCTACAATGACTTAGTGTTGAATACAAAATTGATGGGCTACATAAAATATGATTAATATAAGTTTAAATAGTCGTGTAAGGACTAAGTTGTTAAACAAGGAATAGACTTTACAATGAGGAATACTAAAAGGTTGTTTCCCATCAGTTGATCCGGTCCGAGAGACTCTGAGTTGTCATCAGAAAATGTTTAGGTTTTTGGTGTTCGGTCAAAATGTGTTTATACTAGAAACTTTTAATTTCTTATATTTAACGCGCCAGTGAACGCGAAGCTTTCCATAACACTGGTTATAAGTCGGTTATAAGAGCATCGTTATATTTGGCAATTTTGCAAATGCTTTTTGCCAAAGTACGTCGGGATTGTAATTTTAAAATTTTAAAGGTACTTATAATAAAAATACTTTTTTATCGTTTTATTATGATAAAAACACCTTGTACCTACTTTTTTTTTTTACAAAATCGGGGTCAACGCCCGAGTTATCTGTATCTCGAAGAAAATCTAACTTTTGATTCTACAACAAATGCAATGATATTTTGTATATTTTTATCCATTTTTATGTGCTAAACAATAACAATAAAAACTACGACAAAACAAAAATAAAAAAAAAGCAATAGTCGCGGCTCTCAGTTCTTCGTGACTAAATGACTTTGACCTTCGATAGACAGTAGAAAAATTCATAAAATCGTATCGTTTGATTTTATTTATACAGGTATGTATTAAATTTATGGATGTAAGGTATTTATACTATTTATAATTTCAGCTGTAATATTATGCAAGAAACTATCCAGTTAGACCTAAACGTGATTAAACGTGAGCATATCATCACATCGCAACCACTGACGATTTAATAATTACTATGGTAAATTATATGAACAATGCAATAGGTACTCAACAAAATAAAGTATTTAGTGTTAACGTTCCTTTACGTAACAATAGTAATTATTAATAGTATTATTATATTGATAAATATAAGCTAATAACTCATCAAATATCGTCAAAGCTTATAATAAGCTATGTTGATTTAAAAGAAAAAAGTATTTAAGAAGAGATAAGGGTTTTTCACAGTATTATTCTTTAGAAACTTTCCAGCCATATTTTTAGTGTTAAATAGTATGCGAGTATGACTTCAATATTCTGTACAAGTCACAAATAATTTAATAATATAATATTAAGAGATTATTGGCTGAACGCTGTATATTATGATATTAAGGGTACATCTAATAATATTATTTAACTGAAAAAAACTATACTTTAAAAATAAGTTTGTGATCATTCAACTCCAGTTTAAAATAGGTAGGTTGGTAGTTGATTCGTTTCAACAGCTGAATCTTTGAAAATATTTTTTCATTTAATATCCAGATTTTTAATATTTATACTTATGTGTATTTAATTTTCGAATTGAGCATAAAGGTAATAAATCTTAGATTTTTTGAAAATTTTAAATTCCGAAAGCAACTGTATTTTGTTAGCCACCGTTGTTTTGAAAAAAGATTTAAAATTTAAAATTTTTCAAAATGTTAGAAATTACGCCATTTAGTTATAATGGGCAAAAATGGATAAGTTATATTTTTATCATCGTGTTTAATATTCATTGTACCTTCAAAACTTTAAAACTTTCAATGGTTATAGTTCTTGAACCGTTAGATCAGTCTTATAATTTGGACAGCAATAAAATGTTTTGAAAATATACTTTTGGTCTTAATTAAAAATGATAATCGTTGTTGAAGATTGTATGTTTATAATAATCTTTCTTAAAAATAAAACAGTTTTCGTTAATATTAAACCCAACACACATACATATATACACACATACAAAATATACTGTTAGACTTTAGCTTTTTATTAGATTTATTACGCGTATGGTATATTTTGAAATAAGAGGAATTTCTCAAATAATGAAATAAAATAATATGTGTATTTAAGTATTTTGAATTTAATATTTTGAATACTTAAATTATTGTTTTAAATACGTATTTGTAATCACTTGCAATTATTAGCACTTCTCAACCAACTGTTTATGTTCAGCTAAAAGTATTCTTTCTGATGCCCAAAAATAAATTATCGTGCTTACCTACTTACTAATTTAAGCGTTATTTTCACTTTTTACACTGGTACTATTAAAAATATAATTTGTTTAAAAAAAAAAACCAAATTTATAATGATAAACTTATAACAATCAATAATTTTACACACATTGATCTACTACCCTTGCTATGATAAAACAATTAATACATTTTACGGATATTGTTCGTCTTCGTAATTGGTATTGATATTATTATGTATTTTTGAATTTTATAAAATATATTTTGGCATGGATTTTTTTTTTGTGGCAAATGTCCAAATCTGGTCTTACTAAGTTTTTTTTTTATATTTATCATTATAAAAGCAATCCACTCCATCCGTGTAACTTAATCACATAATATCTATATTAAGTTTTGATAATAAAAAGCTCGAAAAGTAATATTTTTAAATTCAATAGACTCACATGGTTTTCAAAAACTTAAATACAAAATCGATCAATAATATATTTGAACAATTAAACATTATGTATAAGATGTTTTCTTTTTTTTTATTGTTTATTCAAACAATTTAGCATACGTATATGTAAGAAATCCAACTCTGTCGTGCTTAAGGATGATTTTTATCTTGAGTGTCGTCTATGTTATTAATTTCAATAATGTCTCTAGAATATATACCAATCGGTTCCCAAATAAGAACACATTTATAAACATGTAAAAACATGTTTTAAATACAAGTTATGTACCTACTTATGAGCGTGTTATTAATATTATTTGTAAA